CTTCTTTACATTACAATTAGGGCATTATATTACTTTTTGCAAAATAATGTGTGGAGGTAGGCTCTATTTTCTATCCTCTTTCATTTGGGATTAGGAAAAGGATTATTTCAAAAATATTTCAAAATATATTCAACGAAAACCAGCGCTGGGTCTGATGGTGTTGGGCCACTGATCTAGCTGCAGACATGCCCCCTGAGAAATGGCCACACGAGGGCTGACGGGGCTGGCCGACAGCGAGGGCGCGGGCCAGCTGCCTTAGAGGCAGGTCTTGCAGACATAGGCTGAGGCTGTAACGGGGCAGGGGAAGACCCCGCAGGAATCAAAAGCTGCCCCCGAGTCCCGCTGAGCCCAATGGCACAGTATGGAGGGGTGGGAGTGGGGGGGCTCTGTGTGAACAGGAAACTCCACAGGCCCCATCTCCTTCAGTCAACGCAAAGATGCCACATAGCCCCCCTTCGCTTAAGACCACCGCAGCGAAAGACAAAGAGAAAAGGGAAGGGAGAGGCACAAACTGGAACATCTATCCCAAAGAGACAGAGGCCAACTGAGAAGGGACCCATTGAGGTTGGATACTTTTCATTTCTCTCTATCCTCAGGAAATGGGATCGCAAAGGCGAAATTGCATTCTGTTGTTGGAAAATGAAGGACGTCATACCGGTCCATATCGCGTTTGTGGATTCATGATGAGAAATGACTTCCCCCTCCCCCAGCATCTGTTATGTCTTGCTCGGAAAACTGCACCAGCCTCACGATCAGAGTCCCTGCTTTCTCTCTTCCTAAACCTAGTCTGCTCTTCATGGAGCTGAGCGAGCTTCTCACACCCATTGGTCATGTCTTTTCCTTGCCTAAAACTCCCAGTAGCCACTGTGCACCCATTCTCGTGGCTCTGAAAGATCGGGCGCCGACCTTCCTCTCTTGGGTCCTGTCTCCACCTGGCGCCTGCCACGGGCTTGCCCGCTCCAGGCCTTGGCACGTGTGCTGCTTGGAAAGCTCTTCTCCAGGACGCTTCACGCGGCTGGTTCCTTCCAGTCCTTCAGGGTTCAGCCCCTTGGCCTCTGCCCAGCCAGCCTTTTCTGACGGCCTCCTTCTCACCACCCCTGTCGTCTGCTCTTTGTCCCACGGCCCCCTCTGTTTACCCTGAGAGCGTTGGGAATGGTCTCCGTTGGCGTTCCTACTGACAGTAACCCCGTATTTCCAGTTGCGTCGGCCTCAAGCCTTGGCATCCTCCTTGGCTCCCCCTTCTCTTATACCCCACATTCAACCCTCCAGGAGACACGCGGACGCCTCTGCCTCAAAATGCACGTGCTCTGACCACTTTCCGCTGCCTCCTCTGCTGCCACCGTGTCTTGGTCTGAGCCCCTATCGTCTCTCACTGGGTCACGGAAAGACCACTTTAACTGGTTGTCCTGTTTCTATGGTCACCCTCGTACAGTGCATTCTCAGCAAAGCAGTCAAAACGATCCTTTCCAAACTGTTCAAATCCTCTAGTGACAACCGTTTCTTCCAGAGTGAAATTCTTACCGGAGCCCCCAGGCTCATCAATTTTACGCGGCTGGCATTCAAACTCTTGAGGGGAAAAATATTGTCTTTATTCTTCACTGAAGTATTCCAAGCACTGAGAAGGGCCTCATAACATAATAGAGGCTCAATACATTATGTCTTTGGGTTGAACAAATGAATCTTGTTTACTGATTCATCATCTGTTTTTCCACCTTTGGAGTATAACATGCGTGAGGGTAGGGGCCTGATTGGTCTTGTTTCACGTTGTAAACAAAGCACTCAGAAATGCCACCTGGTATACAATAAAAGCTTCACAAGCCCTTGTTGGGGAGATACGTGAATATCTACCGTGAAAAGATTCTTGGACCTACTTACACTATATTAAGTTAATGAATGTGTTGTGCATATAGGTGGCATCGTTTCCACTTGCCATTCATAGGCAGCTATCCATGGGGAATGAGGAGCGTTATACAATAAAGCAAAGAATAAACTCCTCATATAATAGAACCTCAAGGAAAATAGAATGTAGCATTATGGTTGCCCCAAAGTTACAATCATGTAACTGGAACACAGGCAGTATATATCACTAGTCTTTCTGCAGTTTCCCCTGCCTATACCAGCTCTTCTGCTTAACTTCCTCAGGAAAAAGAAAGCCAGCGCTTGGCTGGTTATGTGCAAAACTGCTTACTGTGGGGGCTTTTTTTGGTGGGGGGGTTTGTTTACAAAAATGAAAAAAGTCATTTCTGTGTAGAAGAGCACTTTGTATTCTTGAAGGAGAGATTCATACTGCCAATCACTTACATAATCTATTTTGTTTTTCATCTGTCTTGAAGGGCATTCATATCTATATATTCCTGTGTGCAAATGTAGGGAATCCAAAACTATTTTCTGTGATCGTTTGGATTGTTAATCTCTCCAGGGTTTGCTCAACATGCTCAGAGGCAGTTTCTGGCACCAAAGGGAAAATGGAGAAGTTGAGATGCAATTTTATCTCCCAATTGAACTTGATTAAATGGGGACTGTTCTAATCAAAAGTTTGAATCCTAGGGGAGTGCAATGTTGTTAACAGGCTTGAGAATATTTGAGGAGAACAGGGAAGAAGGGAGCTGAAGTTGAGTCAGAGAAAGAATCAGGCAAGAAAATAATTGTAGTAAAGCTTATTAAGGCATAAAATTAGGTGAACAAATTGCTTCGCAGATAGTGTTAAGCTCATTGCTAGACTGGCAAAGGAAGTGGCAGAGAGCTCTTTGAAAACATTATTTTTATTATTTTAATAATTCTTGGAGGAATTGTAGTAGCTGCAATCTGTTAGCCAGAAACAACTGCCAGCCAGTGTCATCGCGGCGTAACTAAAGTAGGCTGAGTGCAAACATGTTTTCCCTTTTTACCTGGAGAGCATTCCATTTTAGAAAATTTCTATTTATTTTCACCTGAATGTGAGGTCTGCCCTTGTAGATAAGGAAGCCTGTTCATTGCATAATTTAAGAGCTTTGATTAGTTTCGCACCAAGTTCCACCACTGAAACAGGGAGACCACTCCTGGGACAGACAGTGTTTACATCACCAAAGCTACCTACCATTAGAAATGAAGAGTTGGGTCTGTGCCTTAATTAACGGGGCCATTGCTTGATTCTATGCATTGTTTTCCTTGTGGTTAGCTCAAGGAAATGGTGGCGTTTCATTAGGTATTTTACTGAAAGCAAAAAGTGATCTTCTGGGATAATGTTCTTTGAAGGGGGTTATAGGTGCACTTCTTTGTGGAAACATATTTTGTTAGCAACATAGCTGCGGTTACATTGTTTCTTATCATTGTTTTCTTCTAAAATCCTCCTAAAGAATTTCTTGTAACAACGATGTAATCATGTTAAATTGCCGTGGTCTCTCCCGTTTATCCAGAAACACCCAGACTAGGTCCAAAATATTGCAGGATGTCGAGATTGCTCGGCTTTGCCTTAGAGCCAGAGGGAGAAGGAAAGCAATTTTATTGTTCTATTGCAATTCCATTGTCTCTTCCTGCCTCTTGACTCACAAGGTCTCCAGAGGGGAGAGAGGAAGTCATGGACTGCTGCTGATGTTCGTGGGATTTCTTCAGTGGCGATTTGAGTGAATGTCAGGGATATTAGTGGTTTCTAATCCTGGCTCTGCTTTCACCTCCCTTGCGTTGGTTCAGTTTCCGCATCCCCGAAATGGGACATTACGCTCCTCTTCTCTCCTCAGAGCTTCGTTCCGAGGAGCAGATGAGATACTAACCAGGAAAGCGCTCCCCACTATACAAATTGCGGCCAGGACTCAGGCTATACGTTCGTGTAGCTAGCAAGGTGCTACTCATCCATGTGATTTCAGGGCGTTTTATCACATGCGAGAAACTTCTCGAATAATGTCATATGAAAATATGCTAAGTTTATGCTTTGCTCAAGCAAATGCACGTATTTTAAAATAAGAACGCCATTCACTAGACGCATTCAGAAAATAATTCCTGGGTTTTGGGTTCTGTCTCAATTTCTTGCTTGGGAGAGTCGTGTGATGCCATCAGTAGGATTTTAAACTTTACGTGAAACAAAAAAAGAATCACGTTAAGGTTTAAAGACGCTGATTCATCTTACCTAACCACTTTGTTACTAATACGGGTCTTACAGTATCAGTAAGGGCGCTGTTTGTGGTTGTTGACAGAGTTGGAAAGAGGAGAAGGAAGCAGAGGAGGGAAACCTTGTTCACCCGGCTCTCCCCTGTCTAGAAAAATAAAAACGACTTCCTACAGGCAAACCTTAGTGTTCCTGACACAGACCTGGGTCTGAACTGTGGTTGTGAGGGCGACAGTCTGACGTCATAGGTCCACAGGGAGCCCAGGTGGGAGCGCTGGCGGACATGCAGGCATGGACTGTCAGGTGTGGCGGCCCGGGACCGGCAGGGTGTCCAGCAGGGGACACGACAGTGGGAGCCGGGGAATCCAACCGCACTGTCTTGACCTTTAATACCCTGCCGCTCTCCACGTGGGTCAAAGACGAGCAGAAATTGACTCCAGTGTGAGGGCGCACCCATCCATGATCTGAAAAACAGAAATTGTTATTACACAAAGATTTGGTCCTCAGGTAAATGCCAAATTTAGTTGGTAAAAAAATAAAGTTAAAAAAAATGTGCCCATCAACAAGAGCTTATTTCACTTAAGAAATACAGGGGAGTGTAGGTCTTATCCTCCACACTGGGGGGAAGGGCTGAGTCGTGCAGATGTCGGAGCTCCATGTGCACGAGCAGGATGAATGTCAGGAGGTGCCCCCTGAGCTCCTCTGACTCCCTCGGCACCGCAGGCTTGTGGGAAGGGCTGTCCGCGGCCGGAAGGGATGAGGTGTGCGTTGAACCCAGAGCCGGACGGATGCACAGTAGGCGCCTCATGAATACTGGCGTCTCACCGCGAATGGGTGCTGGCTGAATAAAGTTGCAGCGTTGGACACACCACGTTTGTGGTGAAGGAAGGACTGGAAGAAAACTTGGGCATCCGCTAGGATGTCTTGGGTGGCAATTCACAGCAGCCTGGAGCCGACCGCCCCCGCTCTCAAGGGGCCAGCCTCCCGTGGCGGCGTCCCGCGCAGGTGAGTCCGCCCGGCGCCCGGCGGCGGGCGGGGGCCGCCCCTGTCGATAGGCCAGCCAGATTCCGCTCCACTTTCAGACGGAGACCGCCGCCGCGGAGCGCTCTCGGATCCGCGCCGGCCGCGCTCTCCTCGGGGCCGCTCCTCGCTCCGCCTTTGCCGCCTCCCCAGCCTCGCTCGCGGCAGAAGGGATTCCCGGCGCCAGCTGCCTCCGCGAGCCCCGCGGAGCGGCGGGCTCCTCCCCTGGAAACTCCCCCGGGGCTGGGGCAGGCTTCGGCGCATGCTCCGTACCTAGGGCAGGTTTTCGCTGCGGGTAGCACGGCTCCTGTCACATCGGCTGGCGGGTTGTGGCGGTGCCAGCCAGTGTGTGCGAGTGTGTCTGCGTGCCCGCGCCTGGGCGGACCGACCCGGAGCGGCGGTGCGACTCGCCGGGAGAGGCCGCTCCGCACAGGCGCCTCGCCCGCAGCCGCCGCGGGGGCCCCTCGGCAAACTTGCGGCGGACGCTGTCCGCCCTCCGCCCTCGCGGCCAGGGCACCGGCACGCGTGCGGGGCGCGGTGCCCGCGGCCGGCCGGGGCGGCGGGGCCGGGCCGCGCCTTCGCCCTTGGCCAGCGCCCTGGCGAGCCCCATGCAGCCCCCGCGCTCGCGGCCGCAGCTGCCTGGCTGCCCGGCGGCCCGGGGCAGGTCCGGGACCGGAGCCGCTCGACCCAGCGCCTGAGCGCGGGCGGCGGGATGCCCCGCGTGGCCTGAGAGCGCGCCCGGCGCCCCGGCGGGAGCAGGAGGCGGCCCGAGCCGGGCGCTCCCGGGAGCGCAGGGCGCCCCGCGCCGCAGCCTCGACCGCACGCGCCGGCGCCCGCCTACCCGCTCGGTCCGAAGGCCCGGCTCTTCCCGTCCCCAGCGCCGGAGCGCCGCGGGGCCGCCAGCCAGCCGCACGTCTGCGCGCCAGGGGCATGGAGGAGCGGCGGGCTCGGAGCCGCGCCCCTGAGTCCCCGAAACTTCCGAGCGGGCGCCCGTCTGCGCCGCTGCCGCCGCCGCCGCGTCGCCTGCCGGCCTGAGAGCGGGACCATGGATGAAAGGTTCAACAAGTGGCTGCTGACGCCGGTGCTCACTCTCCTCTTCGTGGTCATCATGTACCAGTACGTGTCCCCCTCCTGCACCAGCTCCTGCGCCAACTTCGGGGAGCAGCCCCGCGCCGGGGAGGCCGGCCAGCCCGCCGCCCCCGGTCCCGCCCGCCGGGCACAGGCGCCGCTCGAAGACCGCGAGCGGCGGCCCCAGTTGCCCCCGCCACCCCGCGGTCCGCCCGACGGGGCTCAGGGGGCTGTGGCGCCGGAAGACGAGGACGAGGAGCCCGGGGACCCAGAGGAGGAGGGGGAGGCAGAGGAGGAAGAGGAGCCGGACCCCGAGGCCCCGGACAACGGCTCCCTGCCCCGGTTCGTGCCGCGCTTCAACTTCACCCTGAAGGACCTGACCCGCTTCGTGGATTTCAACATCAAAGGGCGCGACGTGATCGTGTTCCTGCACATCCAGAAGACCGGGGGCACCACGTTCGGCCGGCACCTGGTGAAGAACATCCGCCTGGAGCAGCCCTGTAGCTGCAAAGCGGGCCAGAAGAAGTGCACCTGCCACCGGCCCGGCAAGAAGGAGACGTGGCTCTTTTCGCGCTTCTCCACCGGCTGGAGCTGCGGGCTGCACGCCGACTGGACGGAGCTCACCAACTGCGTGCCGGCCATCATGGAGAAAAAAGACTTTCCCCGCAACCACAGCCACACCAGGTACTGTCCCCTGCCCCCTCTGGCTCCCTGCCCCCTCCCCGCCCCTCTCCCCCCAGCCCGGACCCCGGGCCGGTCTGCTCTGCTTGGGCGGGCTTGGGAGCACCCCAGCGTCTTCCAGCGGTTGGGGCAGAGGCTTTGGGAGGGGGGACAAGAAACCTCTGGATAGTGCCCTGGTCTTGAACTCTCCCCTCCCCCGCCCCCATCGCTTCCCGCCACCCCCTCTCACCTTCAAAGGTGTCCGGAGCCGTCCTGTGTTGTCCTTCCTTGTGCCCAGCACGGTGTGGCGTCCCTCAAGCAGAAGCTTGGAAAACCCTGGATGGGCCAGGAGGCCTGAGTCAGATGAGCAAGGGAGCATCTTGTACTTAAGCACTATGAGTGGAAACCCAAACCAAGTGCACGGCAGAGGAGCTGGGCCCAGAAAGGCAGGGCAGGAGTTTTCCAGGCAAGGGGAGGCTGGAGAGGAGTCCAGTTCCTCTGCAAGTGGCCCTTGGGTTGCTGGTCACCAGCTCAGGAAACAGTCCTCTTGATGGTACTTTGAGGATACATGTTCAAATTCCTGCGCTACCTTGATAGAACCCTAATGCTGGAGGTGGTTTTTGTTGCTGAGCAATGCCAGGATTTTGACTCCTGCTGTTCTCAGCAAGATTTCCACTTTCCAGGCCAGGCAACCCATCAACTCATAAGAAAAGTATTTGTCAAATGCCTATTGTGTGCCTGGCAATGTGCTAAATGCTAAGTGGATACAAAGATATAACAAGTAACATCTCTTCTTTTCAAGACAGAATGGCCTTCCCCCCTCCCCCCTGTTAAATAGTAATACTGCTGAGAATTAGGAAAGTTTGACATCTTAATAGCCAATAAAACTGCTTACATTATTAACATCCTTTGAGAGAGGCATGGGCTTGAGAATTTGGTTGACTGTTCTTTCTGCCCATTGCAATTTGAAGATTAATCTGACATGCTTGCTCAAGGGACTAAAATATTAAAAGCTTGGAACACTAGTTTATTGAAGTTTTTATCTCAAAGGTTTCAAACAATTTGGTGTATGGAAATAGGAATTTAAAAACTCAAGCTCAATATGTTGATATCAGATAGCTTTTGCATTTGACATTATGGAAAAGCTTCATTTACTGGCAGCTACCCAGATTCTGGAATTCACCACCACTGAAGCATCTAATTCTACTTCATTTCTCCAAGAATGAGCAAAATTTCATTATGGGATTTTTTACTCTGGCAGTTTTTCAAATGCTTTCTTTCCTCCCTGCTCCTTTCCCTGTTTAATGGAAATTGGTTAGAAAAAAAAATGCTTAGACTTGGAATGAAGGCATTCGACTGCCTTAGTATATTTTAAGGACCCTTTACTTCTAAATATTTCTAATTGTGTAGTATTTTAGATCCTGCCTCTCTATTTCAGCTTATAACAGTTTTTCAATTAATTATTACTTCCATACTCCCGAACAAACAAGACTAGTGAGAGGGAATATCTGTTACGTTTTACCCCAAATTGTACTTTCTGGAGTTAGGCCTTTATGTAGTAATTCCTGAATAACCTCTAAGAGCTTGTTAGTCTGAGTCCCACCTTCCATTTCACCAAAACCAGAGACTTGGACTATCACACAGAAGCATTTAATGACTCTTCGTTAGGCATCAGTGTTGTTTTCTACTGATGTATAGAAAAGTCTTATTGAATGGATGAAGATTTTGGAGGAATTAGAGATTACGGTATCTAAAAATAATGGGGTTTTTGCTTAATTTTGAAATACTGCTGCTGCTACAGACCCAGCATAAATTATGGCAGTAAGGGTTCACTTCTAAAGGAAATGCTCAAGATCTCTCTACTCTGTGATGTAGGAAAATTCCACCATGACTATTTGAACATATGGTTTCTATTGCACAGTCAGATGCTTTTCTCTGTTTAGCAGTAGGCCATGAATGTTCATTTTACCCTGATTCCCAAGTATCAGGTAATCACCCTGCACTGGTTTAGTTTTGAAAAATTTTTAATCTTTGACATAATAAGTTTTTTTTGGGGGGGAGCACTTTTTATAATCTTTCTTTCTCATCCCTCTCTCCCCTTCCCAGTATTTTCAATTACTTTTCTTCTCTAGATGTTGTAGGAAGGAATAGTTGTGGTTCGTGTGAGGTGCCCTGCATCAAAAGCTATGGAGGAGAAATTGAAGAGATGTTCAGTAGCATCTTCCTCACACCGAAGCCTGAATTAGGTGTCTGTCATTGGAATGTCTGCACCCGGCATCCTTACAGTCCCCTAGATTAGGCTTGATAATGGAGGTATATTTCCCCAATGCAAAATGGCAGATAATCTATTGCTACATAATGGGAACGAGGTTCTTCTTCAAATAGGGCTGACTCAAGGCAAGAGAAAGAAGCACATCATGTTGATGGTGGTTCCCTGGTCTCTTTGCCTTTGGAGTCCCCCAGCTCCCCACGCCAAGGCCTCCGTTCGCCATGTCTCGCAGGGATCACAGGTCAGAGCAAAGATGCTGGGCCAGATGGGTATGGTTCTTGTGCTTACTGGCTGTGTAACCAGGAGCGGGTTACTCCTTCTGAGCTTTAGGTTCATCATCTTTAAAACATAGGTAATTATTAGTACTTCTCTCACAGAGATGTTATGAAAACTACGTGAGAAAGTGCATGCAAAATGCTTAGCGTAGTACCTATTCATAGTATAATAAGCTGGTATAAAGAACTTAACACTTAACAGGCAGGTCTATAGTAGTTCATTCATTGTCAACTGTAATAAGAATATTTTCCCTAATCAAGGCCTTCTCTCACAGAATGATCTGCAGCCAGTTCCTTAGAGCCCCTTAGTATAAATGCTTCACAGTAATTGATAGAGATAACATTTTATGATTGTTTATGTCGAGACAGAATCCTACGTTTGAAACAGAAATAAGTATTATACACACTTATGGGCCTTTGGGCATCAGACGTTGCAGGGGACGGGATGGGAAACAAGGGCAGAGGGTGCACAATGTAATTGGTGTGTCTTCTGCTGGTGACAAGAAACACTGCCTGGAACGGCGAAGGAGGTGAGAGGCGGAAGCCAACTCTAACAGGAGCTGCATGGTGAGCTCAAGCAGCCACCCTATGGAGTGTAAGACCCGGGAAGGGGAAGGCTTGGTGGCTGGTAGTTGGGGTCCAGCACAAGTGCATTTTTGGCCACAGAGAGTGGTTAGAATAAGATAGAAAGCTAAGGGGAAGATGGCACATCTTATGACCGCTTTTATCATATCGCTGATGATTGCTTGCATTGTCTTTTGCTGTTTTCTCCAATTCCATATTTCTTCGTTATGGTATGTTTTCCCCTGAAGCATACCTAGGTGGCCAGAAGGCTCTTCTTTGCCATTGTTGAATATGGATAGAATCGTAACATTTTGTGACTGAAAAAAGGCTAAAGAGATAATCTGGTCCCATCATTTATAAGGCGAGTGGGTAATCTAATCTTAAGAAGGTGAAATCATAAGTGTCTTCCAGGGCAGTTGTGTCTTCCTTTGAGTAAGTTATAGTCAATGTTTTGCCTCCTATTTACTATGAAAAGAACAGTGGAGAGTGTGTCTTGCATGCCTACTGTGTGCCAGGCACTATGATAGTTCTAGGAATATAGTTTTGGACAAACCAAACAGTGTCAGCCCTATGAGCTTAGGTTCTTACGGAAAATAAACCTTGATCTTCTTTGGTAAGTGAGTATCACTCTCATTCTTAAATAATGCTGAAAGGAGATTTCATCTAAATCTTTTGTAGGTAAGATGGCAGCTTTTCTCTTTTATGACCTGTATTCTGTTGGTCCTGTTAGAGGTATGGGAAGCTTATGAATATTGTATTAGACAGGACACTCTGTGCTGCAGATGGTGCAAACCTAACTTAAACTCAGTGTAGTCAGAGAGGAATTAATGTGGTTTAATAACCAGACCACAGGAAAGGTAGGGGTAGAGCTGGTTTCGAGAATGACTGGAATGGGAGATTTGGGGTCTTTTTCCCCCACATTCTTTTGCATATTGACCTCATTCTGTCATAATTGGCTTATTCCACGAAACGGGTAAGTGGCTGTTATATCTAGTACCTCCACATGCTGAGAGGAAAGCAGATTTTTGTTCAGTTCCTGCTTGGAATCTTGGGGAATGACTCCAGATTGGAACTTGTGGCTATCCTTTCAGCCAGCCAGGGTGGCCAGGGAGATGAAGTCCTCTGATCCACAGTGTGTCACAGATTTACCCCGTGACTGGTGTGTGTTGGGGGATCCCAAGAAGGGCAGCTGGCATGGA